AAAATTACCTTTAAAATCAGTAAAAGAAATAAAGCATATTAAATTGGTAAAGCTATTAAAAAGTTATTCTTAAAATGTTTATTATTATAATATAGAGAATGAAAAAATAAGCTATTTAGTGCTTAGCATTAATAAAATTTAGCTTTATTTAAAACTATTATCATCTTTGAAAATACCATTTAAATATTTTAGCTTGCCTAAACTACCAAAACATATATTATGATGAAAAAATACAACTGTGAGAAAATATCATGTGAAATGTAATACCAATGAAATATAAAATTTAGAGAAAAATATTATTACTTATCATGTTGAGTAGCTGAAGAAGTGTCTCATCATATAGACAGGCTGTCCCACAGTCCTCCTTCTCCTGCCACCTACTTCCTGGGTGCTATCATTACATAACTGCTCCACCACACTTAGGTATAGAAAAGGATTATTTTCAAACAAAATTCCCAGAATGCACTGAGGAAGTGATAACTAGACCAGACTGATGACCCTGTCAGTTGTCTCATGGCTGATGAATCTGCAGCACTTCCTGAATTACAGACTTCAGTGCAAACGACCATTCTCTGAGTCATAATCTTTGCCTGTATGTAACCTCAGTAGTAATGTTATTAAATATATAGGTTCAAAGGTAAAAACCCAGCAATATCAGAAACTAATTCAACTCAATTAGACCATTAGAAAAAAAACTATCAACACAATCTAACAACAAACAAAAAAGAAAAAGCTCAGAATCTCAGCACTTGGGGAGGCCAAGACAAGAAGTTTATAAGTAAGTTTGAGGCCAGCCTGGGTTAAAGATTCTGTTTCGAAAACAAACCTAAATAAATTTAATAAATAGCTGCTTTTTGTTTTAAAAGAGAAGAAAATGGCATACCCATTACTGAAGCTCAAAGCAATCGCTCATTCAGCAGGTTAACACTAAGCGAGAAAAGGCAGCATGCCCCAGTGTCAAGGTTATCCTAAGTAAGCTTACAAGCAATTCAGGAAGAGGAAGATGCAGAACACTTGGGAACAACTCATATTCAGGTGACACATGCTCACAAAATCAAGACCCAATGAAGCCAGTATTAGATCTGGTTCTGAATGTCGACTGGCTGAGTGCCAGTTCCCACGCTGTCGTGCTATGTAGGTGAGAAGGGAGTCAACACACATACACTTTTCAAGAACCACTGTTCCATCTTCTCTTGCACTCTCTGCTTTCTGGCCACCAAGAAAGAGGAATACATTTCCTCTGTTACACACGCCTATCTCACCAGGGCCAAAGCAATGGAACCAAAGAACGTGACCTGAAAGCAGGGGTCAAAAATCAACCATCTTAGCTGCCTGTCTGAATATTTCTGGCAAAGTCACTGAAAAGCTAACCACAAAACCAACTACAGTTAGCATGGAAAACCGTCACTCTTAACCCCAACAGCAGGAATAAACCTTGACACTAAGAACACTGATTCTCCGAACCCAATCAAATGCAGACAGACCGGGTTCCTTAATAGAAACATGTAGTGTCTCTGTGGGATGAATCTCAAGCTCTGAGTCATCAGCTTACATTCAGATGTCTGGAACTCACCCTCTCTAAGAGTTCCTCTATAAATAGAGTAGTCTGAAAGTAAGACCGACAATTCTAACTGAATTTTTATAGGTAGTTAACAGAAACTTCACAAATAAATTTCAAATTTTCAGATCGAGCTACTTCTGGAAGTCTGCACAAGATACAAGATACTAAGTATTTCCCATTGAACGAGAGTTCTTGTTTAAGCACTAACATGATTTAGAGGCCCAATCTAGTTGAGTTGGTGTCAACATTTAGGAATTCAAACACAAAACTATAAAGAGTCATGTGACCAAAAAGACTTCAGAGCCTCTGTGTCACCTAGTCTAAACTTTGTGATAACAGATAACATAACAGATGCTATGTTTAATACTCAGGCATTAAAAAGGTCACCTCCAATCAGATTCAACGTGGTAAGTGATATTCTGGGGCTCTTCCTTTAACACAATTATGATTCCCCAAGCCCAAATAATGTGGGATTTCCTTCTGTATACTGTGATTACCATTTATGAACAAAGAAACTGCTTTGGACTTATAGCAGGGCAGAACTTAGGTAGGCAGGGAAAACTAAACTGAATGTTGGAAGAAAGAAAGGTGGAGTCAGAGAGAAGCCATGTAGCCTGCCAGAGAAAGACACTGGAAACTTTAGCTGATAAGCCACAGCCACGTGGCAATACACACACACATAGATTACTAGAAATGGGTTAAATTAATATGTACTAGTTAGCCAATAAGAAGCTAGAGCTAACAGGCCAAGCAGTGATTTAATCAATATAGTTTCCATGTGGTTATTTTGGTTCTGGGCAGACAGGATGAATAAGTGGCCTCCTCCTACACCCAAGACAGAGAAGAACTTACCAAGGTGCCTCTTTTCTGTAAGCCCTAGATCACGATGTACAGCCAAAGATCCCTTCTTCATTCACCTCTGTGTCATCACAGCCCTCAGACTATTTTTAAAATTGAAAACTACATAAATTTATGAAATATTTGCTTCTTGCTGTAAATTTTTATTGAAAGACCCAGGCCTAGTTATTTTTCAGAATGGCTTTATCACTAGCAGAGCAGTGTGTGTGTGTGTGTGTGTGTGTTGTTGTTGTTGTTGTCGTCAATAACTACTAATGAGTACTGTAAGCATTAGGAACAAACAACACTTGAGGAGAAGCCTGCTGTTTTTTAAAAACACTGCTAACACACGTTTCAAGGGGTTTTGTCATCCCCGCCCCCGGTTAAAACTCTACAGGAAGATTTAGAGTTCTCACTAAGGCCAGAGTCACTCTGACTCATTCATTATAACAACCTAGAGTAAACCTGTTCCTTATAATACTAAACACTCTGCTCAGGAGACCCCACACCACAAGAAGACAAGGCCTTGGTAAGAGCCCTAATACGCTTCTTGATTGCTGCAGCTATAAGCCTCTCTCCATTCTGCATCTTCAGGCTGTGCTCACTGGCTTAGCACACACCAAGACAAGAGCCACTGTATTTAGTTAGACTTTGAGACAGCCTAGTAGACAAGCTTAATAACCTAAACACATTAAACCCGGAAATAAAAAGCTGCCAAATATTTTTGCAGTGTTCTGGATATTAAAAAATTAAATTACAGAATACTATGATCATGTGCAAATTTATTATGGTTTTTAATTCAATGAAATGTAGTTGCAATTTTTAAAAGCCAGGGGTTAACATTAAAGGGCAGTTATTTTATGAATATATATCATAAACATCATTATGAAGTATAATGGCAGAACAATGAAGCAAGTACAGAAACAAAATTATCACTTTTAGCCTCAAATTCTGAACTTGAATGAGAATTTTAAGTAACTGAATTTCAACTAGATTATGTACAGACAATTTCATAAGGCAAAAGGTTATGACATAACCAATACATTTGCTATTAAAAGTAATTGCTAGGAGCTATTTCCACTGATATACCGGTTAATGAATGAAATGCTTGTCACCACTGTTGATACTAAGGCTAGAGACGCTACCTTCCTAAACCACTTGACAAAGTTATCACAATAATATATTCATCTCATTAACTCTTTGAGAGGCCTTAAGCTCCACCTGTCTTATTTACTGGATCATAGCACTTAGCACAGTATCTTATATATAAGGACCCAAAAGATGGTTGATAAACTTAGTCTGCCAACAGATTTTGCCAATTACTAGTATTCTCACCATTCACTTCATATCTAAGTCTCAAATGTCTTTTCTTCTTTTCTTAGTGTCATTTAGGTATGCACGAAGTTCCTCTACCTATTTCTTTGCATCAAGAGACAGAGTCTTACTACATAAATAGCCCAGGGTGGCATCAGTCTTGGCTATGCTAAAGTTATTTATAGGCAAACACCACAAAATCCAACTGAAGTTTGTTTTTCTATTAGCTAGAATGATTTGATTTTTAATTCCTGAATTTGTTCTATGATGACACTGAAGACTGTATTACTAGGGTTGGGAGAGAAAACCCTGGTTCAACATACCATACCTAAAGCAACTGCCAATTAGCGCAAGAATGAAATTTCTCCGTGGGTTCAAAGAGGCAGATAATGGTGACATTAAAGTTCCGGTCTCCACTTCCTACATTTGTTTTCTTCTATTAGTTGTCTATCTACTGTATTTATGAATGAACTTTATCCCTTCTGTTAACAATGTATCATTAATTACAGATTTGTTTAAGAATGACTTATGTGTATAGGTGCTTTACCTGTATGTATGCCTGTGTACCATATGTGTGCAGTGACTACAGAGGCCAGAAGAGGGTGTTAGGGCCCCTGGATCTGGAGTTCTAGAGTTGTGAGCTACCACGTGGGTGCTGGGAAATGTTCTTGACCACTGAGAAATCTCTCCAGTCCTTCACTTATTATATATTCTTAAACACAACTTTTTAGTGAACACTACTTTTTCTTTAGGCTTACTAAAACTTTTAGTCAGCACCACAGTTCTCAAGTGCAATGCAGCAATCTTCTGGAGTAGAGAAGTGAGGGAGGCCTGGCCGTCCTTTTCACTGAAACAAAGCCAGCGCTACTTTTATGGTAGCATCATCTGTCTTTTTCATTCCCATTCTCTCCTCTGTTACAGTGGAATTTTCCAGGATATACTGATCACACACGGGGGGGGGGGGGGGGGGGGAATCCAACCTAACTGTAGAAGAAATCATTCTCTGTCATTAAGCCAGGTAATACGAGTTTTTTTAAAACAAACAAACAAACAAAAAAAACCAAAAAAACAAAAAACAATGCCACTCCTGTCATTAAATGTCTTGGAAATTTATTATTTTCACTTATTAATAGATATAAACTAATTAACCTATTTTTAAAACACATACAAAGTTATCTTCAGATGAGAATTTGAGTCCTTCCCAGTCACTTAAATTTTGCTTCAAACATGAAATTCACATTATTTATGGCAATACTAATTACAATATTATTTTAAGGCACAGACTTACCATTATAGGTTATTCTTGGCTTTGTTAAACACATCACAAGATGCAAATCCATTTCATCTGAGGGTACAAATTTTGAGCATACCGGGCACTTAAACCCTAAAACATAAAAGAAACTCAGGTTATTTAACTATTCTGAATATCAAACTATAGTTTTTAAGTCATGGAAGACTAAAAACATTTAAAACTTCACTATTAAGACTTAAATAATACATTATAGTACTAATTACAATTCAATTTTGGGGAAAAAGATTTGAGACTAGAAATCAATATGACTTAAACCAATGTATGAAGATCATTCCATTATCTTAAAAATCAAGTCAAATGAGAAGAGGGAGCCCCATCATAAACCCCTTATCTAGTCCTATTACTATTATTCTCATTTCTGATTTTTCAAAAATACACACTTTCTCTAGGTTGTTTCATGTTAGAATAGCTTCCTATACTGATCATCTTTGTGAAAATTATCTTTACCAATTTGATAACATTCTTTATAGCTATACAGTACCAGTGATGACTGGAATGAGACTGTTCCCCAAGAGCTTATGTTTGAATGTGTGGTCCCCAGTTGGTACAACTGTTTGGGAAGGATTAGTAGGTGTAGCCTTATTGAGAATGTGTGACGCTAAGGGTGGCTTTAAGGTTTCAAAAGTCCATGCCATTCCTAGCCAGCTCTCTGCCTTGAGGCCGTCGCCTTGGCATGTAAGGTCTTGCCTACTGCTGCAGTGCTATGCCTGCCTACTGCTGTCAGGTTCCCCACCATGGTCAATGGACTCATTCAAACAGTAAGCCCTAACAAACTCTTTCTTCTATATGTTGCCCTGTGTCATGGTGTCACTTCACATCAATAGAAAAGTAATTATGACAATCCCTTAGCACTATTCTCTCCAATCCACTATATTAAACACACACTGATAAAGAACGTAAAAGCTTTGAGAACAGCAAAGCAAGTCTATCATCTAAGACTCCTGAGGCCTGCATTACGAGTTGCACACTTGGAGATGGCTTGTGTTGACACCTCAAGAGTTCCTATGTTCAAAGCTTCATCACCAACTTGTTGGAATTGCAAACCTTTCAAATGAGGCTCCAGTATGTGGTTGTTAGGTCACATGCTCCAAAAAATGAAAAGCAGCTCTTATGGGATTCCCCAACACTAAGTTGCTATGCAAGTCTCAGCCTGAGCATTTAATGGCTCCCTGGTTTCTTGTCTGACAAAGTAATCCCTTACCTCCATAACCTCATCTTCATCCCACACCTGCCACTGTGGTGCCAACCACCATGAGGCCTTTGTCAGTGCCAAAGTGATACCAGTACCAAGTCCATAAGCCTCCAGAAATGTGAGCTAAAGCAACATTATGAGATCGGTTGTGCTTGGACACTTCATTACAATAATGAAGAACTGACTGAAATGGCCTTTCTGCCACACCGTACTAAGTCCTGATGCAAATTAAAAATAGCAACAAACCAAGAGAGGCACTTGCAGTCAATTTTGATACTTAAATGCTAGATTCTTCCATGTAATATTCAATGTGGACTAATATTTGCCCGAAGTGCTCTACTGAAATCAAACTAGCACACTAATGGGAGAATGTTACCTACCTCACTTACAAAGACACAGTCTGGAATATTCAAGGGGGCTCAGATGTAAGCTGAATTGAGAAGACAGAAACCAGGGCAAGTAGAAGAAAGGAGGTCTCTGGTCATGGAGCAGATGTGTAGACAGAAGTAGCAGCACTCTGGGAGATGAGCAACCAGTGAGGAAAGGGACCTTCTACACCTACTTCTAGGATGTACCAGTTCTTAAAGAACAGTTTTCTCTCAACTGTGAGAGCAAAATCACAGGCAACCTGACAAGTCAGACTAGAATCATAGCTCCTACGAAACTAATATAAAGACAGCAGGAAAGAGTTCCCTTACTATTTATTCAAAATTCTGTTTCCCTAAGTCAAACAGTCTGAAAAAAAAAAAAAAAAACTAAAAAAGCTTTATTTATTGGAGTTGGAGAGACAGATGGCTCAGCAGTTAAGAGCACTGGTTGAACTTGTTTCTTTCCACTTCTCAAAATTCCCTAAACTGAGAGTGAATAAAACTTCAAAAAGGAGAAATGAACTTGATATAAGTCAGCAGCAAGAGTAAGAACGTCCACGAGCGAGCTGACAAGATTGCTAAGGCAGTGTCTTCAGTGCTATGAAGGCAGCAAAGTCTCACTTCCTAATCCTCAAAGGCCAAGATGGAGGACAAGGATGTCCCATGACTTTCCTAATAGTAATTCATGAGGCTAAACTTTATTGCCACAAGCTTTCAGGGTTCAAGGCATGCAGCACCAAGCAACATCTGAAAACCTGAGGTTTCTGAGTCACTTCTACGCCAGAAAGAGCTCCTTGGAGCAACAGTGCCTCACATCCGGGTACGGAGCACAGCCAGCGAGCCCAGAACACTGTCTGTTCTGCACTTTTCAAGTGTTTAGAAACCAATACTATAACACGGTGGGGTGGGGGTGGGGTTACTATGGAGAAAGAACTCAAATATTCCTACTAGGCTGTGGGTGACAGAGTGAGCCTCCCCTGCCAACCTAGTCCCCTGTTCAGAGGGCATCTTAGCTGAAGAAATGCTCACATCAGACTGGCCTGCTCCTCACTGGCTGGAATAAGGAAGGCAGCTGAGCAAGCCCAGGTGCAGCATTCCTCTGAGGTTTCTACTTCAAGCTCCTACTTTTGAGATTCTGCTGAGTTTCCTTCGACAACGAACTGTAGTCTGTGAGCTGAGACAAACCCTGTACTCCCCAACTGCCTTTGGCCGCAGGCTTGTCACAGCGACAGCAAACTAGGACAGTGGAAAAAAGAAGAGAACAGGGATAAAGAAAAGTCTAGCACTGAAAAAGAACCCTCTGTCCACAGGCTTTACCTATATACACCTATTGAGAAAACCCAAACACCAAGCGTTCTTGTCTATTATAAGCCCTACTTTACATATAAAACAGTCAATCAGGGTTTTTAAGGGACCTTTCTATTAGGTAAGATGCAACAAAAGAAAGAAAAAAAAACCTTATCATAGAGAAATACACCAGAAACAAGTTCAAAAGAATGCAGACAAACAATATTTGCATTATCTATCAAAAGCAAATGGGCAGTATCTTTACCATACAAAGAACTCTTAAAAATCAATGAATAAAGCTAAACACTGCAGTTTTTAAAATGGGCAAAATTTCTAAACAGCACCAAGCACTCCTTGGTGTGATATACAGAGGACAAGATACACCTATGTATATTCCTGTCAAATATAATTAGGATATAATCATGAGGAATTTAGGAAAAAGCCTTTAACATTCAAGAGACCTCAAAATAATACAAATGTTAATCCAGAAATCAGAAGGAAACCAACAGTTCAAATCCTGACCCCTGCACTAAACACGTGGGTTGTTACAAGTTACTTTGACTTCCATCTTATTATGTTAAAGATCCCCCCAGGAGGGCCAATTTGTTCTTAATTATCCAGTGATAATTCAAAATAGCACTGCATCCATGAAACAAGAATGAGAGGCTAGAAAACAGTGAGAGAGAAATGGAAGAAAGGAATTAGGGCTGCCGAGATGACTCAGCAGGTTAAGGTAAAAGTCTATGGAGAGAACAGAATCCATGGAGCTGTCCTTGGACACCTACAAACACCATGGCATATGTGACTTGAATACATATCTCACACACACACACACACACCTAAAAAAATACAGAAATTAAAAATTCACATAGAATTATGGGCTCTTGACTTACGTCGTCAATTAATAATAATTAATATTTACTATGTATGAGAAAATTATCTAGATACTTTGAATATATCAATTTACCCCTGCACACTTTGAATTTAGTCTTAATATCTTAAAGATAAAAGCAGATGAGCTAAGAACATGGCTATAGCTAGAAACTGGCCACAAAAGTACTCCAACAGTCCTCCTGGCTCCACAACTTTGCGCAGCCTTTTCAGACTCCCAGGAAGTAGGACCAAGATTCAAGAAAGGCAGATAATAAGATCAGCTCAGGTGCTCTATTATGTAATTAAACAGAGCCGCAGAAATAAGGAAAGAGGAAATCCAACGTATTTTCCCAAACTGTAGCTAATCAGTATTCAGAATGAAAAACTGTAAAAATAAATGAAGACAGGTAGCCATGTCAAAGTACATTACTGTGAAATTAAAAAGCAAGAGACTTTTTAAAAAATTAAAATATTCAAGAAGAAAAAAAGACAGTCAAACTAAAATCTCTAAAATCCAGGCCTTCTTCGTTTATAGTTTTTCAGAATCTGAATGGCATTAGTCTTTTCAACAAAGCTGGAAGCCAACGTAACTCCAAAGTTCCAAAATGGCGCTTTACTGAAGCCACACCTAAATTAGCATCCATGCTTCCACTGGGTCGAACACAGTTTCTGTGTTCTGGAGAACAGTGTTCTTGTTACTCATGTTAACAGTATCTCAATAGAAAAGGCAGCCAAGCCCTTGCCTCCTGAGACTATTTTCGAGACGGTCCCAGAGCATGCACTCCACTAAAGGCAGGAGCAGAGACCACTTGAGAAGAGAAGGAAGTCTTTGATGAAGAGAGGGAGGTCTAGAAATTATTAGCTGAAATATAGGGTGGGAGTAATTTCAGAACTCTTAGAAAGAAAAAAATGAGATTCAAGAAATATGTATCTTCAAATATTCAAAGACAAGTAAGTGCTGGTTACCTATGCACATATGTACCCCACTCCCAGAGCCCCCTCCATCTTCTCCTATAATCAGCCCCGCATGAAGAGTGTCACCAAAAGCTCAGTAAGTTGTTGTCTTTCTACAGCAATCTTTCTTAAAACATTGCTTCTCCACCAGAAATTAATCAAGTTTCCCTTTGTATTTTTCCTGGACTTCAACAGTTTCTGTATCACAGCAGAGCAAGGAGAGTATTATTTATCTTATTAGCTTAGTAGCCTAATAAAAATTTTGAAGCCCAAAAATATTTGTACGTGGGTACAAATACTGGTTGTACTACAAACTATGATGATAAAATGTAATACCAAATACACACTGGATTGAAGAGACTACAGGAAGTGCCCAAAGCACAGTAAGGTGTTCAGCG